GTGATGGATGGTAATTAGTCTTTGGGTGATGAACATCATGTAGTCTACACAGAAATCAAAGTATAATGATGTACACCTGAAATTTATATAATGTTATAAACCTATGTTACCTCAATTAAGAAAGAAAGAAGGAAGGAAGGAAGGGAGGAAGGGAGGAAGGAAGGGAGGAAGGGCAAGGGAAGGGAAGGAAGGAAGGGGAAGGGAAGGAAGGAAAGAAGGAAGAAAGAAAAAGAAAGAAAAGAAAAAGAATATTGTTTTTCTTATTCAGTGCTCTTTCTGTGTCAGAGGGCTTTTCTCTTTTATTCTGTTAATACGACGATTTGCATTAACAGATTCTCTAATATTAAACCAACTTTGGGTTTCTGAAATGAATTAACTTGGCCATTATGTGTTTTTTCAACTTTAGTGAGTTTGGTTGTTAATATTTTATATAGGATATTTGCATCAATATATTCATAAGTGAAATTGAGTAATTTTATTTTTTCATACTGTCTATCTGGTGTATTATCAAGGTTATGCTAACTTCTTAAAATGACTTCAGGAGTATTCTTTTTTGTGTGTGATTTTGGGGAAAAAAAGATGCATGAATTAGAATTATATGTAACTTGAATGTTTGGTAGAATTTGCCTGTAAAACCACCTGTCCTGAGTTTTTTTTACTTTGTTTTTGTGCAAAGCATTTAAACAATTGATTCAGTTTTTAAAAAGATTATGTCAGGTTTTATATTTCTTTTTGAGCCAATTTTAGTAAGATATATTTTCTAGGAATTTATCCGTTTCATCCAAGTTTTAAAATTCATTGTGATAAAATCATTCATAATATTTCTTATCTGTTTAATCTCTGCTTTGTATTTATATCTCCCTTTACATTCAAGATCATTTCTTTTTATTTTTTTACCTATCGTCCTAGAGATTTGTCAATTTTGTTGGTGTTTTCAAATACTTTAATGGGTCTATTTTACTTTCAATTTCTGTTTAATTTCTGCTCTTATATTTATTATTTTTTTCCTTATACCCTTTTTGAGTTTATTCTACTATTCCTTTTTCTACTGTTTCTTTTTCTAGTTAAACACTTCTCATTAATTTTTAGCCTTTCTTTGGCTGGCCCGGTGGCTCAAGCGGTTAAGTGCATGCGCTCTGCTGCGGTGGCCCGGGGTTCACCGGTTTGGATCATGGGCGCGCACTGACACACTGCTTGTCAGGCCATGCTGTGGCAGCATCCCATATAAAGTAGAGGAAGATGGGCACGAATGTTAGCCCAGGGCCAGTCTTCCTTAGCAAAAAGGAGGAGGATTAGCATTGGATGTTAGCTCAGGGCTGGTCTTGCTCACACACACAAAAATTTTTTTTAGCCTTTCTTCTCTTCTGGTATAAATATTTAAGGTCTAAATTATCCTCTCAGGGCCACTTTAGCTGCCTACCACAATTTTGGATAAGTAGTATTTGATTATCATTCAGTTATACATGTTTTATATTTTCCATTATGATATTTTCTTTGACATTCAGGTTAGATGAAAATGTGTTTTCTAATTTTCAAATATTCAGAGATTTTTAGTTACCTTTAAAAAAATCAATTTGTAATTTAATTGTTTGCATTGTTTTATTTCCCTACCAAAGTGTTGTCTGTTTATTCAGATCTCCCCTGTAATATTGTTTGTTTGTTTAAATGCTGTCTTGACCCAGTTTTGAGGCCCTGGCTAGAAGCCAGTCAGTTCCCCTTTTTGAGCAGTTAGGTCCACACTCCAGTCACTTCCTCTGTCAGCCTCTCGTACTCCGGGGCCACGGGACACTAGTTCACCCTGGACCAGGTAACCAGGTATCAGATAACTAGGGACAGTCCCTCTACCCCAAGCCCACAAAATTATCCAAATCCCATCCCACCTTCCCACCCCCACTTGCCTTCTATAAGCTTTCCCCTATTGCTCCAGTTTGCTGTTACTCTGTCCCTGGGTACGTCCTCCCTGTGGCCCTGTCTGGCAGCCTTCTCTCACTTTAAGCTGTAAGTAACAGGTCTGATACCAAATCTTGGGTGCTTTACCACCACTGCTCTGCAGCTGAGTCCCCTGAACCTCTTCCAGAAGGCCTTGAGAGTTCCAGAAGGCAATGTCAGTTGGTAAGCCAGGTGTGGCCTGGGGAATGTAATTGGATGTCTTTGGTGTTGAAATAAGGCTTGGTACACCAGGGGGCGCTGTAATCTCAAGTGATTGCTCCCCGTCTTGTTGGAAGCCTATGGGGTGCCGCATACCACTTTGCTCTGGGGGAGGGTTTCCCCTCTGGTATTTTGTGTTGGTCTGCTCTTTTCTGGTCAGGTTTCAGAAATTCAGCTTAATGGAAGATGGCGTCCATGAAAATGTCAGGAGTGTGGGTGTTAGCCCTGGCTGTGTTTCTGGCTGTGTTGTCTTGATCACTCCACCTCCCTCTCTGGGTTCTTATTTCCCCATCTATGAAATCAGCATTACTAAAAATCTGATCCTTTCTTTCAGGTGCGAGTATTGTTTAGTTCTGAAACCCTCACTGGTGGGAAAACCTATTTAGTGTTTCTCCAGGACAGTAACGTTATTACTTGGCAAACCTGAAGACTGACTTTCTCCAGTGCAGTAACCTTTGCAACTTGGAAACCGGAAACCTGCTTTTAACCTGAACACTGACTCAGAAATTGAACGTGGCCCACTGAGTCTAAATCCAAATATTTCCTGGATTCCTAGTTATGGGTAAGAGCAACATGCCAGGCTCAGTTGTTTTAAGAGAGGAAGCTATTCCTGTGCATGTTATTTATCCTGCTAATTTTCACTGCTAGTGCCATTGTTGAGCATCTATCTGTACCAGACACCGTGCTAAGTGCTTTACAAACGTTAGCTCATTAATCCTCCCACAATCACCCCTTTTTATAGATGAGAAAATCAAGGTTCACATAGCTAGTAAGTGGTGGCACCGAGATCCAAACCCAGACTGAGCAGGCCTCAAAGCATGTGCTCTCAACCAACACGGACACGGGAGCTCGTGCTTTCCTTCACTCAGGGAACCGGGATGCCTATCATATGGCCACGGTCAGTCAAGGGAGCACAAACTGGCTTGCAAGGGATCATCTCCAGACCCAATGGCCAACAATGACTTACGATGATTTGGACCTCTAGATATCATATGTTCTAGAACCTTAACACTCCTCTCCCCAGGCCAGGGTCTAGGGAGACTCAGGCAATGTGCTCAGACGGGCTTACGCAGGGCCTTGCCAGGGTGTGAGCTTTCATACCTTTCACACTGTACCCCTCAGCTCTCTACCTTGTCCCTCAAGGTCTATAATTCTATGGTAGAACCTTCCTCATGCTCTCCATTTCTAAAAATATGTTCATTTTATGAATTACTTTGTATAATGGGCATAGATTCACTGGTCAGACATGTTCGGGACTTTTTATTCTATATCTGCTTCCAGAGTTCACATGATATTAGCATTGGAAAGCGCCCCCAGAAGCACTGAGGTAAGGAATTGTGTTTAACCTGAACCCAAGCCTGGCATTCCCCAAACTTATTTGACCACAGATCTCCATTTCTTTTTCAGAGGATATCTATGAATCTGGTGCCACAGTTCACTCACTGGGGAATATTACTCTAGTTTAGGATTTCTCAATCTCAGCCCTACTGACATTCTGGGCTGGATAACTTCTTATTGTGGAGGGCTGTCCTGTGCCTTGTAGTATTTTAGCAGCATTCCTGCCTCTTCCCAGTAGAAGCCAGAAGCAACTCCTCCCACCTCAAAAGAAAACATCTCCAGATATTGCCATATGTGCCCCCGGGGGCAAAGAGCCCAGTTGAGAACTACTGCTCTAACTCATGCATTTTTTTTTTTAATTTTATTTATTTTTTCCCCCAAAACCCCAGTAGATAGTTGTATGTCATAGCTGCACTTCCTTCTAGTTGCTGTATGTGGGACACGGCCTCAGCATGGCCGGAGAAGCAGTGCCTTGGTGTGCGCCTGGGATCCGAACCCAGGCTGCCAACAGCAGAGCGCATGCACTTAACCACTAAGCCATGGGGCCGGCCCTAACTCATGCATTCTTAATAGAGGCAATATTGCCCCCAAGAAGCAAAATTTGTTCTTCAGGGTGAAAAATACCTTTTTTAATGTAAAAGCACAGATGTACATATACTACATACACAGATATCCAGTTTATCTGTGGTATTAAAATTTCATGGGGAGGTATTGAGGAAAAATATGTCTGAAAAGACTCCTTAGGAGGGGTGATGATTAAAAAAAGGTTGATGAATACTGCTCTAGCTCAATTTTGTAGTTCCTATTCATGCAACTTCCTCAAGAAAAATGACTTTTGTGGCTTTTTAAAGCTGAACCAAAGAGCTAAGCAACTGTACACACATAGAGGGAAAACATTTGGAAGCTGGCAGAAGCTGAGGATACGATCTACAAAAGACTTAGGACTGATGTCTGCCCCTTGACTATGACTGCTATGCAAACCCAAAGAAACTCAGCCAAGATCACTGTCAATGGAAGCTCCACAATTTCTAAGTAGAAGGGGCTTGGGGGAGGGGTCTTCCTGCTGCAAAAGGGGCTTGATGCTATGTTGTCATGTCATTTTACACATGATTGAGGACACGTCAATTATTGAATGTGTTTGACTGAAGCCCTCCAAGTCACTGCCAGACACACATTTGGATACGTTTTTCTTTTCTCTACTCTGAATATCCTTTTTCTTGAGCGTATCTGGCCTCTCACTCTGACCTCCTGAGATCCCACTTGTTTGGAGGACATCAAACATCTCGATTACGTGCCACTGCACATCCACGATGGGGAAATAACAAACAGTCCACTGATCCAGAATATAAAGAGGATTTCTACTGCATATAGCCAGCTAAAAGGAATTCTTTTAAATTAAAAATCCAACAAATAAATTTTAAAAAATCAGAAGTTTCTCTTGTTAAAAACTTACTTCATTTTCCTCCTTAATCTAGCAGAGGCAGACCTTCCTAGCTTTCAGTTTTGGGAAATGAGTGACTAAGAGTCACTCATTTTCTGCTTCTTACTTCTATCAAAAAAACCCACATGAACTCAGCATAGATGGGTAAAGGATAGATTTGGTGCTCACAGGAAGCCACGCGCCCTTCAAAGTCACTTGTCTTTCTTAGCGCTGCACTTCTTGAGCAAGCTTGGCACTGTCTCACAGACCTTCTTCAGAGCCGTTTTCAGAAAACCAAGGTAAGTGGGGATGGGTCCATTCTCAGGGCCTCAGGCCACGTGCTGCTTTCTAGCCGGGTGTGTGGACTTTGGAAGCACAGACAGCTGGCCAGCCTCTCACCCAGTCCCCACACTGAGGCATCTTGGTCATTCTAGTGCTCACAGTTTGCTCCTGTCTTGGAGGTCACACATGATCTACCTGTACCCACACTCTCCGAGCCCTCATCTGACTGGCATTCATATATGCAGCGCTCTCTCCCTGCACACATCTAACCTAAGTCCACGTGCTCAGAATACACAGATAATTTTCATTAAACACATAAACTTTTCTGCTTCTTGCCCCTATCAAGACTCCCAGGTCAAGAAACACCACACAAATCAGGCCTACAGAATAATTCCAAACATTTACCAGCTGTGTTTACTTTTCTTGTTCTGACAATTTCCTAACTCCTCAGCCTCTTTTATTCCTTTAATTTTCACTAGTAAAATGATAGAAAGAGATCAGAATTGTCATTCATTTAACTAGAATTGACACTCATGTAACAAATTTTTTTGGAGACTCTGCAATGCACCAGGTCTTCAGCATATATTTGCAGGAGTAAACCAAAATCTTTCTCTTGAGAAACAACGTGGTTTGGGGGTTTGGGTGTGTGGTGGTGGGGTAGGGGGAGGGAGGGAGTAGATGTGAATTACCAAACAATGTGAAAAGAGTTTTAATAAGGAATATCAGGGTGCCATTAAAAAAGAAGCAAGAGGAGGTGGCTTTGAGTCAAAAAGCCCTCATCCCTGAATTGCTCTGATTCGCATGTGAATGTGTATGTAACTTTAAGAAGGTTTTAACCTCATGGGCCAGTTTAGATACGAAATGAGGATGTTTGGGGAGGTAGAGATTTTAGTTCTGCCTATGATGTACCTTTTCTAGGTCTGTCATACTAATTTCCACTCTGATAGGATTCAGTGCATAGGATTGATTTTTATATGTGGTTTTGATGAAAAGACCAAAAATTTCCTTCAATTTACCCAGCTGAGTACTGCAACCTTCCAAAGGGCCTTGAAAACACATTTGCTGCATTGATGTCCAATTGGTAGCTAGCCACCCAGGCCTGGAAGGCCAGGCATGTTCCCACCTAAGATGGTGCTCTAGAGCAACCCTGGGACTTGGCAGTGGTGTGCGGGAGCCTATTTGCACCATCTCTCAAGAGCCAATTTTTACATATTCAAGAAGTTTGTGAGGCAGTTGGTAGCTTGACCTTGGTCATGGTGGGAGTATTTACACCACGGAAACCAGCAAAAGCGATAAATCAGAGCCTCCCCAGCCCACCCATCCAGATCTGATTTACCAGCACATCACTGGGGTTTGGGGCCCGAAGAGCAAGTTCTATACATAGCTGTGTGGTCTTCGGAAGTCATTTCACCTCTTTGAATCTTTCATGAGCCATCTACACCGTGGCTCAGTATGCTTGCTTGGCTTAGAGTACCATCTTTTTGTTGGGGGGCAGGGATAGGGACAGGAGCGTGAGAGTGGGATTAAATGCACAATACCTATAAACATGCTTTGAAATCTATAAAGTACAAAGCATGCAAGAGGAATTAGAATTTTTATTGAAAGGTAAGTGACCAACCTGGTTTCCTTCTAGCCTAATGAAAGCAATTACTGAATTTTTAGAGTTACAATCTGAAGGGGAAAGATGCATAGATTTTTAATCTTTTTTTTTGGCTTTTATGTCAGAAAGGCCCTGGGTGCAGTACTGTTGGGGATATCAACTTGTCTCGTCATTCCTGCAAGTGGTTTCAGTAACCCTAGACTATCTTTCAGAAATACATCCTTAAAAAATGCTTCTTTGAAAAAGAGGTTTTACTATCCACACTTACAAATGGAAGAACTGAAGCTCCCCGTAGAGGGGTAAGAAGAATGGTGGAGCTGGAATTGAACCTGTCTGACTCCAAAGGGCAGGACTGTTTCATTTGGCTGCACTGCCCTGTGAGGAACTGAGCCCTTCAAATTGGGAAGGTTGGGAAGGGTGTATAATGATCCGGGGCAAAATATTAAGCAGCTGTGCTCTGCATTCAGCACCGTTTTGATTTGTTTTTGTTCTTATTGAAATCTTGCTTGCTCTTCCCCTCATTAGCTTCTTCTGGTTGGGTTCAGATCTGCCTTGAGGAGCCTGTAGGTTTGAAAATGAACCCCACGGATATAGTAGACACCACTCTGGATGAAAGCATCTACAGCAATTACTATCTCTATGAAAATATCCCCAAGCCTTGCACCAAAGAAGGCATCAAGGCATTTGGGGAGCTCTTCCTGCCCCCACTGTACTCCCTGGTCTTTCTGTTTGGTCTGCTTGGAAATTCCATGGTGGTTCTGGTCCTGCTCAAGTACAAGCGGCTCAAGTCCATGACTGATGTGTACCTGCTCAACCTTGCCATCTCGGACCTGCTCTTCGTGTTCTCCCTCCCTTTCTGGGGCTACTACGCTGCAGACCAGTGGGTTTTTGGACTAGGTCTCTGCAAGATTATTTCCTGGATGTACTTGGTGGGCTTTTACAGTGGCATATTCTTCATCATGCTCATGAGCATCGATAGATACCTGGCAATTGTACACGCGGTGTTTTCCTTGAGAGCGAGGACCTTGACTTACGGGGTCATCACCAGCTTGGCCACATGGTCAGTGGCTATATTCGCCTCCCTTCCAGGCTTTTTATTCAGCACTTGTTATACTGAGCGCAACCATACCTACTGTAAAACCAAGTACTCCTTCAACTCCACGAGGTGGAAGGTTCTGAGCTCCCTGGAGATCAACATTCTAGGATTGGTGATCCCCTTGGGGATCATGCTGTTTTGCTACTCCATGATCATCAGGACCTTGCAGCACTGTAAAAACGAGAAAAAGAACAAGGCGGTGAAGATGATCTTTGCTGTGGTGGTCCTCTTCCTGGGGTTCTGGACACCTTACAATGTAGTGCTCTTCCTGGAGACCCTGGTGGAGCTAGAGGTGCTTCAGGACTGCACCTTTGAAAGACACCTGGACTATGCCATTCAGGCCACAGAGACCCTGGCTTTTGTTCACTGCTGCCTTAATCCAGTCATCTACTTTTTCCTGGGGGAAAAATTTCGCAAGTACATTATACAGCTCTTCAAAACCTGCACGGGCCCTTTTGTGCTCTGCCAAAACTGTAGGTTCCTCCAAATTTACTCCCCCGACACCCTCAGCTCATCTTACACACAGTCCACAGTGGATCATGATTTCCATGATGCTCTGTAAAAAATGAAAATGCAAAAAACAGAGTTAATAATCTTCCCAAATTAAGAGCTTACTTAAAATTGTATTATAATAAGAGTTCCCTGAGCAAGTGTCAGGAAGAAGACTTACATCCATTGCAGAAAGTGGGCTTTTCCCCCTGTAGTCAGCTTTCCTCTAGCCATATACGAGTTCAGCGAGGCAGGAGTTCTCCCGGACTTGAGGTGTCCTTCCTCACACCAGGCTTGCCTGCAGGGGTAAATAAACCTGAGAAGAATTCTGAGCAGTGTTTCAGTGAAGTTATAGATGATATTGGAAGGAGAAGACCACTCCCTTCTAATCTGAACTAATGGGGTTCTCCAGAGGCGATCGCGGAGAATTGACTAGTGGAGTAAATTGCTACTTCTTGCTGTGAAAAATAGGCCCTTTAATTAATTTCTCGCTTTTGTGGAACAATATAGAAAACTTTGACATGCTGTCCTAGTGTTTTTCTAATAATATATCTGAAGCATGATATATTCCATGAAGCCAAGTGTATGCAGACACGAATAGTGAAGTAATGAACTTAGATCTTGATTCTTTTATTGTAAAGGATTATTTGTTAATGGAAGCCAAACTTTTTATGCTGATTACAAGTATAAGGATGTGAAGGCATGAGCATGTTCTGATTTCCAAACATGAAACACAAGGCATTAAAAAATCCAAACATACTTGTGGAAATTCAAACACAGTTTCATATGCTTGTGAACAAGTTTTGTTTTAATTATAACAGATGAATATTCAAAATTTAAAAATAATACATAAGACTAGGTACTTTTATTTGGGGTCTGTTACTTGTTTACAAACAGTGCCTTCAAAACTAAAAATAACAAGGACTAATAAAGTATGACTTCCTTAATCATTTTGAAGTGCCTGCCATCATGTGAGGGAAGAATAATCAACTAAAAGTTATTGCTGGTGTGGAACAAAAATGACTGTCAAAACATTATGAAATTGCGAAAAGTATCAACTTCTCTTTTAAAGTTTTGGCCCTGGTTTTTAACTTTCGGAAGACTCAATAGTTCAGTCAGTCATTTCTTACAAGTCATTTTAATCATGTAATTAACCATTTTATATCATTAAGATAAATCTCTGTTCTTACTCACAGCCTTAATTAATCAGAATTAAGTAAAGACTTTAACAAAGTCTGGGGAGACCTGTAATCCCTCCAAAACCAAAAACCTTTCTGGCAAACTATTAAGCGAATTAACCAGTTTAAAATGCTTCTGTAAGTTTACACATTATTGCATGCTCTACATTTATAAAGAATGCATTTCCAGAAAATTTATTTTCAGGAAAGTGATTTTAAAAGGGTAAGTTGATGTTGCCTTTATAGAAAAAAATAAAATAGAATGAACTTTTGTATAGTCCCACTGAGTCTTTTCTCCTGATCATGTTGGTGTTTGATCTCCCGAGGGGAATGAGAATACAAGCTGCTGACATTCCCACTGCCTCACTTAATCAAATTTGCTACAACATCTACATGTTGTAGACATAGACGCGCTCAAGGGGAGGAATTAAAGGGTTCACCGATAAGCCCTCCACTTGGGGTGGGGAAAGGAGGTGCCATCGTGTTGTAGTGCACTTGGAGATCAGAGTGGATAAGAAGTGAGGGGTGGGCCAGGTTCCTAGGCAGTGTTTTCCTAAAAAACTTCTGCATGGTGTGTTAGGGTCTGCCAAATCCTCACTTTGCATTCCCTGTGAGCCTGAGTATGTTACTTTTCTCTCTTAGCCTCACTTTCTTTCTCATCTGTAAAGCAGAATATATTTCAGAGTGATTGAAAGAAAGAAATCAAATGATTAATGCAAAGCACCTATGTTCCTAGGTCATCGATAAAGGGTGGTTTTGGATCTGCCCAGCCAGTGGCTGCCTCCACTTTCCTTGAGCTTGTAATTTTATTCATTTAATCACAAGGGGACAGAAATTTTAGGACACCAAAAGACAAAGACTGGCCAAAGGAGTTTTACTGGCCCTTCGTTCCCCGTCACGTACAATGCGAGGCAAGGGTGAGGTGCAGTCCACACAGGTTCCATCCTTCCACCTGGGGGGGGGTGGTCATCCATAGCCTCAAGACACTCAGGGCTTCCCTTGTTCCAAAGTTGGCAGGATTTTCCCTCAGGATGGGAATTTAGACGCTCTAGTGACACCCAAACATGACCCTCTCAGTACACTGAAAAGAAAATTTCTTCCCATTCAGTAACAGAAACATAGAAAGAAAGCCAGCATGATTTCTACACAAGGGTGGGTTTAATTACAAATTTTCAGACATCAGACCCATTCACTCCCTGTCGCAACATACATAGCTTCTGGGGAACACAGACTAGGCATAATTCGTTTACAAACAATAGAAACAGGTTTGCTTTTGGGGTGATGTAAATATTTTGGAGCTAGATAAAGATGATGGGTGGACAACATTGTGAATGTACTAAATGCCACTGAATTGTACATTTTTAAATAACTAGTTTTATATTATGTGAATTTTACCTCAACAACAACAAAAAGAATAGTAGGAAATAGCCCTGTCAGTATCTGCCCCACACTAGGCACTCAAATTCTATTGAATAAATAAATTTTGTCTGCTTTCCATGAGAAGGGAAAATACAAGGTGATGCCAAAAGGTCTTCAGACCTTCAGGGAGATTTTTCCTAAGAAACTCATAACACTTTGGAATATTTGATGCAATTAATTCCTAATTGTTGAATGTCTATTTTGTGCCAAGCAGAACGCTAGGTTATGGAGAGAATAATAGGGTAAAGGAGTAAGTTCTGCATTCATGGAATTTACAATCTGGTAAGGGAAAACACAGAAACAAGATCAACTATAATGCAAGCAGGACAGATGTGATAACAGTTACAAACGAAATGCTTTGGGACCCCAGAGGAAGGAGAAATTGATTAAATTTCAAATTTTCATAATACAATTAGCTTTTAAGTAGGCTTTTTAAAGGGAGCGTGATTTTGATGAACGGAAGGGTGGAAGGACATTCTAGGTGGATGAAATAGCCAATGAAAAGGCAGGGTGGTGTTAAGAGCCTACTGTGTGTTCAGGGAGTGATGAATAGGTTTTTGTAGTTAAAGTGAATATGTGGTGAATGGGGAAGAGGAGCAATGTAGGGAAAGATAAGACCAAAGAGAACTTATAGACCTACGAGGCAGCAGTTTTGAGCTACTGAGTCATCCTGCATTGGGCCTGAGAAGACCGATAATGGATGCTGTGGTGTGCTGGTCATACATCTCCTGTTCAGGACTGAAGCACTCATTCTACCAGCTTCCAGGAGCATTGACAACTGACAGCTCACAGCTAGTCTCCTTTCAGGGTTGTCTTCTCTCGGGGCAGCTCATATTCAGTGACTGGATAATGAGGGGAAACACTTACTTTCTTATCTTAATTTGGGACAACTCTGAAGAGCCATTCCAACTCTGGAGCTCCGCATAAGATTAGCTGAGGCCTCTGTTACAACTGCATGGCAGTTCAACTTTTCCTACTACCTAGTGCTACTTCCTTCCTGCCCTCAAGGGCGTTGTTCCCAAGAGGACTCCCCATTAAATCTTTTCTATGCTAATATTGGAGTCTCAGAGTCTGTCTCCAGGAACCCCCCAATCTAAAACAAGGACTTTCAGATCACATAGGGGACAAGTGAGCACCTAATATAAACGGAAAGTGACCCCAGGTGTGGGAAAATGAGGAGGCATAATCTTTGCTTCAGGGATGTTGTTTATTCATTGCTCTCTGGCCATCAACCCCACTTGACTCTGGGTTCCTGTGCTTCCATTAGTCAGCCTCATCTTTGCTCCCATAATTTGCCTGCCTCAAGCCCTGAAGCATCTTCCCTTACGCCACTCTCTTTCTGTGATGGTCATTCTCCATCTCTACCCTTGGCCATGCCACAGCTACCTGACATCTTATATCCTGTGTCCGTCAGTGACTTCCTTGGCTCAAATGAGCCAGACACAGCTCCACTCATTTCTGGGGTCGCAGTACTTTACTCCTTAAAAGTTTACAATGGCTGCAAATTCCCCTTTCAGAAAATCAGAAATCCACCAAGTGCTTTCATATATTGACACTCATTTCAGCCTCTTCTTAAGTAGATAAGGTTGGTTTTAATACCCCAAGAAATTGACGTTCAGGGGAAACAATATTCTAACCATGATTTAGACTAACTCCACCAACAATAACCACCACCTAACTGCCTAGCAAAATGCCTAGCACAAAGCAGTTGTTCAATTATTTTTTACTGAATGAGTGAATTTCCTTATCTCTTAATTAATTACTCTACACTGGCAATTCAAGTTTCATTTTCACTACACAAAGTTCACCAGTTCTCTCTCCAAAATCCCCATTATGTTTCTAATAAAACTTTATATGACAGAGTTCAACGATTGATTGAATTGCCTTCTAGTTCCAGAAATTAGTGGGCGGTCTTTGGGTCAAAATTACTTCATTAAGACTTTTGGTATGAACATAGCTGCAGAAGTCTGCATTTTCACCTTCTCTGAGAAATTGTAAAATAACAGCAAGAAGAATGAATTTTAAAAGCCACAAACTCCATTTTTAATCGAACTTGGAGAAAGACTTTTCAGACTCTGAAATAGAGGTCAGGTCTGCTAAAAGCGGCCAATACCAGGCAAAAACTGTATGGGAAAAGGTGAAAAGAAGGATGATGAGAAGTTGCAGCAGTGACAGACCCCAGAGAGCACTACACATACGCATTTCCTGAAGGGAGGGAGACACCACGAGGTGCAGGAGAGAGATGAATGGGACTTGTGTCAGAAGCCCTCCTAGTCCCGCTTTGGTTCAGAGAAGCAGAGGTGGCAGATTTGCCAGATTTCAAATTTGCGGGAGGGAGTCTGTCCCTGGGGCAGTAGAAAAGAAGAGAGCTGTCGGGTTGAGAAAACAGCTAGCCTGGAAAACTACTGGACCCCCCGTGTCCCCACCACATGCACACACAAATACAAAGGTAAGCATACTTAACATTTCAAAGATAGACACTAAGAGAAACAATATTGACTATAATCAGGATAAGAATACTATAGAAGTATAGGAATATAATATTTTATTACCTTGATCAAATATATTTATTCCAGCTCAAAACTCTTAATGGGGCAGTCGAGAGGCATCCCAGCTAAAAATGAAAGAAAGGAATACCTACTATCACCACTTCTATATAACATCACACTGGAGGTACTAGCTTCATGCTATAAGAGGAATAAATTAGAGGTGTAAAAATTGAAATAGAGGTACATTCTACAAAATCCCTGACCGGTATCTGTCAAAACTATGAACATCATCAAAAAACAAGGAAAGTTTGAGAAATTGTTATAGCCAAGAGGAGCCTAAGGAGACAAGACAACTAAATGTAATTAGTTGTGGAAGAGAAAAAGGACATTCGCTAAAAACTAAGGAAATCTGAATAAAGTATGGACATTGGTTGATAATAATGTATCAATATTGGTTCATTAAGTATAACTAACACACCATACTAATATAAGATGTTAATAATAAAGGAAATTGAATGTGGGGCATATGGGAACTCTGTACTTTCTTCACTTTTCTGTGAAACTAAAACTCTTATAAAATATAAAGTTTATTTAAAAAAATTGAAAAGGAAAAGACAAAGTACCTCTAGTTGCAATGATAGTATTGAACAACTTGAAAACTCAAGAGAATCACCTGAAAAAACTGTTATTAACAATAAGAAAGATAATTAAGCAAGTTAATAGGGGAAAATGTCAATACATCAAATCCAGTTACGTTTATATTTACAAATAACAATCTGTTATAAGATATGATGGAAAACAGACCCACATTTTGAAAGAGAATAGAAAAAATCCTAATTAAAACACATGATATATATATCCGAAATACATAGAAAA